TCTCTTTCTTTACAAACAAGAAAGGGGAATGAAACCAAGGTAGAATAATTTCTCTCTATTTGCAAAGTAGAATGGAATCAGAGCAGGATGAGATTCGATGACGCCCTCGTAGATCGACATCCTCCAAATTGATTGGTATGACGATTGTCACCTATTAGTCAAATCTGAATGGAAAATTTTCCAATTTCAGTAAATTCTAGGTCTTCTTTGGCAATAAAATCTTGTTTATTTTGTTTTATTTTTATGTTGTTGTTAGTAGATGATGCCTTAATAGATTATTACTATGTGCCGCATTTTTCCTTTTTTTCATGCTCAGAAGCTTGAAGAAGAGTTTCTTAAAATTATTGCTGAAGGTGATGATGTGAAGTTGAGACCAAGTTGTTGGTGCACCTGAAATTCGTTATGGGGGTGGGGTGAGGTGAAGTGGTGGTGATATATTGGATAATTCTTGTGGTACATCACAAGTTACATCAAGGTGTCCATAATGGACAACCGACGCTCTCTCATTGGTTGGGGTGCCGGTCCCACAAGCCCCCCCACCAATAGGGAGCGTCAGGTGTCCATTATGAATGCCCTAATGTATCTTGTAATGTACCACAAGAATAATTCTGATATATTTGAGGTGAGGTGGTGGTGCGTGGATTTGACGTAACCATGGTGATTTGGGTGGTATTAGCAGTGGTGGGTGGAGTGAGGATGCTAGCCATGTGGTCCATACCTGGACAAATAAGGCTTAACCTTTCTTAACATGAAATATAAACATCAACCCTCGAAGTGGATAAGGAAATCCTCCATTGCTTTTGGTAAGTGAGTAGGTTTAAATGTTGTATTTGCTGTAGCGGTAATGATGGAGCAAGCAGTAGTTTTAGTTACGGGTTAAGGGCTGATGACTTCTATTCACATTATTCTCTTTCTTATGATAAAGAAATAGCTGATAATGTCGTTGAGAGATCACCATAATAAGAGCAGGCTCAAGCGACGAAAAGTGAAAAAACAACATTTTATACTGTGGTGTTTGGTTGTGGTGTTAATTGTTGGTTGGTAATCTTTGGGGTGAAGGTGGTATTTATAGTCATTGATTTGAGTTAAAGGAGGTAATGGTGGTGCATTGGATGTTATGGTGGTGGTAGATTATAGTGTTGGTCTGCGGCGTGTGCGAATTTGTTTGTGGTGACATCTGTGATCAAGTATGTGTTTAATGTGACTAGTTGTAATCAATTTTGTATTAATTATGACTGATTGTGACTTGTTCACATACCATCACAGTTAAAATTGACTGATCACATACTGTCACATTGAAGACAAATTTAGTCGCAGTTAGAAACAATGAAGAAAAAATTGGTTACAGTTAGTCAAAGATAACTCATGTTAGTGACTTGGTAGAGTATAGTCACAAATTAAACGATCACAGACAATCACACTGAAGACAAATTTGGTTACAGTTAATTACAGATAACACAAGTTAGTGACTTCGTTACATAACAAATTAGACGGTCAAACTGAATACAAGTTTGGTCAGAAAAAATTTGGTCAACAAATAACATAGTTAGTCGCAAATTTAGGGTGATTCCATGGGAGTAGGGTGTAATTTCCAAAATCCGTTTTAAATTTTTTGAATTTTTTTAATGGTTTGGGTGGAGTAGAGTGTGGATGGGTGGAGAGTTTTCATCTTTTTAAAGTTTTAAAGGTTCCGAGGTGGAATGTAATCTTGAGAAAATTTTTCAATTTTTTTGAAAATATTTTACAGCTGTGGTCCGTGGGGGTGGGGGTGAGGTGGTTCCAACATAGGGTATATTCTTAATAAAAGATTTTTAATTTTTGAAAATTTTTTACAAGTTAGGTTGGGATGAGATGGGGTTCCGAGGGTGGGGTGTAATCTCGAGAAAATTTTTCAATTTTTGAAATTTTTATAAAGGTGGGATGGGGTCCGTAGGGTCGGGTGGATGTGGTATTATTAATTGATATATTATTAATTTCGTGGAAGTGGGATGGGGTGGGGGGATAATTAATTCTAATTAATTATATATTATTAATTGAAATTAACACCTGAATTT